ATTCTACTATTTTTCCAGCGATCCGCGGTGCCTGGTAGAGGCTATACGAGCCCTGACATGCCACCGATCTTGTGCCCTTGGGAAAGGCACTTTACACGACTTTCCTCACTTCGCTCAGGTGAAAATGAGTATTGTCCTGTCATGTATTTGTCCCTTGTGTTGGTGGCGGCATTAATATAAGTTGAAAAAACTCGAGTGTGCCGTCACCACGTCTGGTGATTATAGTCATTATATGTTGGAATAAAAAGAAAATAAAGAGGAGCGGCGGTCGGCGCGAGGAGCGGAGGTTTGACGAGAGGCGAGGAGGGGGCCGGCCGGCACGATGGGTAAATACTTAGTAATCGCCACGAGATGCGGCTATCGCCTCCGCGGAGCTGGAAAATAGCCCTGTTTATTTCTGCGTTTTCTGATAAGCGGTGCTAGCCTCTATCAGGCTTCAGAAGCGGCCAGGGGGAAAATAGCCCTGCTTATTTCTGGGTCTTCTGATAAGCGGCCGTAGCCTCTACCAGGCTTCGTGAAGCGACTGGAAGGGGTAGAGATTACAGCCCCCGCACTGGAGTCTGGTAGAGGCAAGTGGTTATCGCCTCCGCGGAGCTGGAAAATAGCCCTGTTTATTTCTGGGTCTTCTGATAAGCGGTGCTAGCCTCTATCAGGCTTCGTGAAGCGGGCTGGAGGAAAGATCAGCAGCAGGAGGAAAATAGCTGTGTTTGTTTCTGCCTCTAGCCTCTACCAGGCTTCCTGAAGCGGCTAGGGGGAAATAGCCCTGTTTGTTTCTGCGTTTTCTGATAAGCGAGAGTAGCTATAGCCTCTAACAGGCTTCGGAAGCGGCCAGAGGAAAATAGCCCTGCTTATTTCTGCATCTCCTGATAAGCAATGTTAGCCTCTAGCAGGCTTCGTGAAGCGGCTAGGTCGTGAAGCGGCGAGGGGGAAAATAGCCATGTTTATTTCTGGGTCTTCTGTATATATATAAGCGGACGTAGCCTCTACCAGGCTTCTCTGCTAGGCAAGCTTCTCTACCACAGCACCAGTCTTCGGAAGCGGCCAGGGGGAAAATAGCCCTGTTTGTTTCTGCGTTTTCTGATAAGCGGTTCTAGCCTCTATCAGGCTTCATGAAGCAGCGAAGGGGGAATGGCCATGTTTGTTTCTACTAGCCTAGCCTCTACCAGGCTTCGGAAGCTGGAAAGAGTACGCATTGGTCAAATAGACGGATAACAGTCAGGGAACTCGGTCCGCTAGGGTTACCTCTCCGGAAGTTTTTTCTTTCTTTCTTTCTTTTATAGTCACGTTCTACTCTTTCTAGCCGCCGCACCGACGCCTGTCGATCGAGGCTACAGTCGTTTCCGGCCCCGTGAAGCGGGAAGGCAGAAAACAGAGATGTTTATTTGTGCGTTTTTAGATAAGCGACACGCACGGAAAGGGACCCTTCCTCCTTATACCGTAGTTTAGACTTCTTTGCTTGTTCGCAGACTTGATTATTATGTAGTACATTTATTTAGTTCTTATGATTATTTGAGTTTAAAAAAAACGTGTTAAGCGGAAAAAACGGTGTTAAACGTTATTTTGTACCATTAGTTTTTTTTTTAGGACAAAGCACCCATTATGAAATCCAGTACTGGCAAAAAATATATATATATATTCGCGGCGTTCGCAACAACAACAAAGTTTACTAAAATTGCCCAAATTTGACCAAAGGATGGACTGAATAATTTTCCAGTGACTTTAGTTTAGGAACAGAGGCTTAGAGATATATATATAGGCACCCTTGTTCTAATCTCTGTAAGCCCATGTATTTATTTTTTGGCAAACGCCACTGGCCGATCCGGTCACCCCATTTCCTGCAACACTTTGACCCCCGCATGGGGAGGCCAGCTGATTTCAAGGCTACTCGAAGCTGCAGGTGGACTGACATTCCTTCATAAAAATCGCGTATTTCACTGGTAAAATTTGGCGAAAATGGTGTGAATAATTTGCAGATTTGCAGCGCTGGCACCAGGCGCGACCGGCTCTAAAACTCCCGGCGCTCGCTGAGCTGAAGCAGTTTAGCACAAGAACATGTAGCAAGTACAAGTAGCTAGTCTGCAAAAAAACTAGTAGAATAATTTGCAGATTTGCAGCGCTGACACCTAGCGCGAACTCCCGGCGACCACTGATCCGCGGCCCTGAAAGCTCTAAAACCAGCACAGGTA